TCAGGCTGAAAGATGTAATCTCTCTGTAATCTGAACACTTGGTACTCGGGGGCAAGAGGATCAGAATTTCAAATTCGAGGTCAGACTGGGATACATGAGACCCTGATGCAAACACAACCAACCACATCAACTGAGTCTCTTAAATGACACTCGGGTTGCTGTCTTCATTTCCCTTGCCTGGATCACAGCTTCAGCCTCCTCTGATGCTTTACTTATGTTCCTCCTCCCTCCTCCAGTTTACCTTCCATATGGCAGTCAGAGGCATCTTGCTAGAACACTGTAAGGCTGGCAGCCGCCCCAGCCTTCAATGCCTCCAACTCCCTTTGGAGAACACCCATAATCTTTCTGATGAGAAGCCATGACTAGTCTGACCCCTGGCAACATCTCCAGTCCGCACTGCTCACGCCCTTTAGAGCTCACATACTGCCCATCTTCCTAATTCTAGCTTCTTGAACTCCTTCCCTCTCAGGCTAGACTCTGTAAGTGCTTCCCCACCTCCACCCCCAATCACCACAACCAATCACCCTGGAAAGTAGGTATTGTTGTCATGTCCATTTTACACGTGAGGACACTGAAGTTCACAGGAATTTACTCCTGAAAAGTCTCACTGAAGGTCCGAATCTGAATCGAATTCCCCAGCACTTAGTTTCTATTTGACTGCCTCTGTCAGTGCCAGTGAAATCAGAGGATAAAGAATTTTTTTTGATTTTTTTTTTTTGAGGCAGTATCTGTTCTAATACATTCGAATCCAGCTCAGACTTTTCCTGAGACTCTGTGACCTTGGGCAAGCCATCAGCCTTTCTATTATTTCCTTTGTAAAAGGGAGATAGTTGTGGTGCCTGTGCATAAATGCAGAGGAGGTTTGAGAGAAGCCTGGCCTGAAGGCTCACACTTGCAGTCCCAGCACTGGAAAGGCTGAGGGAGAAAGATTGCCGTGAGTTTGAGGCCAGCGTGAGGCACATAGTGAGTTCCAGGTCAGCCCGGGTTATAGAGTAAGACCCTGCTTTCATTTCCCTCTCTCTCTCTTTCCCAGCTAAAATTTCCAACCAAATGAAAAGTTCATGTGAGTTACAGTGCTTGAATGAGAGGTGAAGAGAAGTACGCCCCATGTTGAGAACCTTACAGGTAGTCTGAGTTCAACAGAGTGAATAGGCTGGATCGAGGGGACTTCGGAAGGTTTAGAAGAACCTTCTCCAACTGGGGGAGGCAAGAATGGATTCTTGGAGAAGTGTTGAACAGAGATCTGAAGTATGAGTTAGTTGAGCAAATGAGAGCATAGGGGGAGAAAGGCTTTTTTTTTAAGACAAGGTCCTACATAGCTTCAGCTGGCCTTAAACTCAGCATGCAGCTGAAGATTACCTTGATCTCCTAACCCTCCAACCTTCAGCTAGGAAGTGAGGGCATTATAGGTCATGCCATCGTGCCCTGTTTGATGTGATGCTGGAGATGGAACCCAGGCCTTTGTGCATGCTAGCCAATCACTTTATCAGCCAAGGTACTTCCTCAGGAAAGACATTTAAGGCAGGAGGCACAGCAAGTGCAACTACTTGAAAGTGGTTTTCTTGCCTATGAGGAACAAGGGAGAGGGATAGAAGAGTGACACGTACAGAGACAAAACAGAGCAGGCACACCCTCCCACGCAGGAACCTGCAGACTCACAGTCTCCCACGCAGACACAGACACACAGGCAGGCACGCGCACGCACGCGCACACACACACTCTTCTGGAATTGCTGTGCTAAACAGTCCCCCACACACATGCAGGATCACAACATCACGTAGACATTAAAAAATAAACCACAGTGCCAGGCTGGAGATGTAGTTTGATTGGTAGAGTGCTTGACGAGCCATGCAACAAGCCCTGGATTCAATCCCCAGTACCAAATAAAACAGGTTTGGTGAAGCATGCCTGTAGTCCCAGAACTTGGGGGATAAAGACAGGAGGATCAGAAGGTCTTGGCTACACAGTGAGTAAAAGGCCAGCCAGGGATATATAAGACCCCGAATCAAACAAACAAACATAAGCAAACAAACTCCACAGGGTACTGTGAAGCATCAGCAAGTAAAGATGCTGCTACCAAGCCCAATGAACTGAGAGTTTGATGCTCAAGATCCATATGGTGGAAGGCAAGAACCAGCTCCTGCAAGTTGTCCATTGATGTTCACACATATGGCATGGCACCCACATCCCAACTCACGCACACACACACACACACACACACACACACACACACACACACAAGAGGTAACATGGATGCCAAATGTGGTGGTACACCCCTATTATCCCAATACTTAAGATATGGAGGCAGATGGATCAAAGTTGAAGGTTATCCTTGGCTACATAGTGAGTTTGAGGCTAGCATGGCCTCTGACAAACAGCCAATGATACCAGCTACATGGTGCACTCACACCCTTCAAAGCAACCCCACAGATGAGTCAACACACGTTTCTCTGGTGCCTACTAAGGCGAGGTCTTTATGCTGGTTTTGGAGACATTTTTGGGTTTCTGAGCCAGCATGACTGGGCCATGTCCTTCCTCTCTCCTACCCGGGATAGTTCCTTCTATTGAGAACCCACAAAACCCATGATAGGAGAGAAGTTTCACACCCTTTCCCCTGTAGCACCTGGACAGGCCACCTCTTGACAAGACAGATTGAGTGGCACCTTCCATAGAGTCCTGAATGGGACAGAGAGGGGAGCCTTATCCTGTGGAAGACCAAGAATAGCACCATTGTAGAAAGGGAGCTGCAGGTAAGGTGGGTGTATAGCTGGTGGGAGACAGCTGAGGGGTCCTGCCCTCTTTAACCACCCCAAGATAAGCAGATAGGGCTGTGCGTGTGCCTGTGCGGCTGGATTATGGATCCCCCAAGGAGAGGAGGGAGCCCCAGGTCTTTAGAGTCCTGGAGAAAAGTTAAGTGCATACTTGGAGGCTTGGGGTGAGGAGCGAAAGAGATGCTAGGGTAGATAATTTTTAGGGCTATGAGACAGGAGGTCCTTGAGCATGAAGTTCATGAGCAGAAGATCTGGAATGGGAAGACTTGAGAGTGAAGGGAAGAACTGGGATGCATACAATGAGGGCTGGTAAGCCCAGAACAGAGCTGGAAGATTAGATTTGGACCTAAAGAGTCAAGAGGTGTGAGATCTTGGACCAAGGAAACATACAGAATGAATTCTAGACTCTACAGCAAGAAACATTCTACAACAAGCCCATCTGGAGGCTGCATTCTAGAAACTGAAGAAGTAGGATCAGACGCCAGAGGCCTAGAACTCCAGTGATTTATGAGTAATGGTAGAATTAGAAAGGCCCTGGGAGAGGGCATGTGTCTCAGCTGGTAGAGTGCTTGCCCGTCATGCATATGCAGCTGGGTTTCATCCCTGGCACCACATAGGGTAAGTGTGATGGTGCACACATGCAAGCCCAGCATTAAGACGTGAAGGGTAGAGGATCGGAAGTTCAAGGTCAGCCTTGCCTACATAGTGAGTTGGAGGCCATCCTGAGCGACATGAAATCCTGCCACCCCCCCAAAAAAACTCAAAAACTAAATTCTAGAATCCACAGAGATTTTTGGGATCTTACAATCTAGAAGAAAAAGAGTTGGGTTTTAAGGTTTAGAACTAGAGAAATATATAAGGCAAGACATCAGCTGATATTTTAAAGATGTGTTCTAGATTCAGAATAATTCGAGTCAAAAGATCTGAAGTAAGGAAGACTGGGCAACTGTGGCATCTAGACCAAAGGAACTCATGGCACAAGGTCTAGAATCAGAAGACATCTACAGAGACTGAGTGTAGCTCAGTCGGTACAGTACTTGCCTAGCATGCATGACATTCTGGGTTCAATCCCCGGCACCACATACAACCAGGCATGAATGTAATCCAAGCACTTGGGAGGTGGGTGAAGAGGTATCGTGAGTTCAAGGTCATTCTTGACCACGTGGCAATTTAATGTTGAGTTTTGAGACACTGTCAAAACAACAACAAAATCCAGAAGGTTTTACTTTTGCTGTTGTTTTGTGTTGTTTTGGTTTTTCAAGACAGGGCTTCTCTGAGTAGCCCTAGCTGTCCTGGAACTCACTCTGTATACTAGTCTGGATTCAACTCAGAGAGGTCTGCTTGCCTCTACCTCCCAAGGGCCGGGATTAAAGGTATGGACCACCACCCCCTGGCTTTATATTTGAAGTTCAGTAATAGGCAGATCACCAGGTCATCTGAGAACAGGGAATCCTGGAAGTTTCAAGTCTAGAGTTTGTATAATCTAAAACCTGGGGATGGTGGAGGTAGTGAAATCTAGAACCCAAGAGATTGGGCACATGGTGTCTGGCTCCAGAAGAGCCAGCTCTAAGCTCAAGACATAAAACTCGCTTTACCCCTCCTTACTGAGGGAAAGCAGATCTTGAACTCTTTGCGTGCAGAAACTTGGAGAGAAGTAAGACAGGCATCGTGAAGTTTGGAACCAAAGTGATCTAGAAATGAGATTTGGATTTGAAACCAAATATCTTACAGATGAGAAAGACTGGTACCTACCAGAAGTTTGGAGTTGTGGGCTCCAGAAACAAGAAGGAATTGTAGTTATAAGATCAACTGAACTCAGTATCAAAGGCCTCAAATTTCTAGACACTTGGGAGAATGAGACTGAAGGATCATGAGTTCAAGGCCTACCTAGGTTTAGAGATTGAGTCCAAGGTTAGTCTGAGCTACCAAACAAGATCCTGTCTCAAAACAAGAAATAAGACTGGGTGGTGGTGGTGCACGCCCTTAATCCCAGCACTTGAGAGGCAGAGGCAGGTGAATCCCTGTGAGTTCGAGGCCAGCCTGGTCTACAAGACCTAGTTCCAGGACAGCTAGGACTGTTACACAGGGAAGCCCGGTCTCAAAAAACAAAAAACAAAACAAAACAAAAACTAAAAACAAAAACAAAAACAAAAAAGAAATAAAATATGGGGCCGGGTGGTGGTGGTGCACACCTTTAATCCCAGCACTTGGGAGGCAGAGGTGAGCAGATTAACAGGTGCAAGTTCCAGATTTAATACTCAATACCACACATACAACACACAAATGGTCTGCAATGACAGGGAACAGAAGACATAGGAACTGCAGGGATTTTGAAGAAGTCTAGAAGCGGAGGATATTACAGAATGAGTTTTTTAGTGAGAGGATTCTGGTGGTTGTAGGTTCTAGACCCAGAGAGCCTTACAGATGATGTAATTCAAACCACACTTTAAAGCACTGTGAGGTTTGAAAACAGACACAATTGTGGGCTGTGAGAACCAGTCCAAGAAAGAGCTGGAGACTATGAGATCTATTAGAAGAGTTTGAAGAAACTGAGGTCTGTAGCAGACCATGTTGGAAGTGATGCAGTCTGGAGTCAGCGGGAAGTCAATGACAGCATAGTCTAGAACTAGGGAATGTCAGAGAAGGCTAGTGGTCATATAGTCTGAAACCAATGAAGACCAGAGGCAGCGTAGCTTAGAATTAAAGATGTTCACAGGTTGTATACTGTCTAGAGTAGCAGTTCTCAATCTGTAGGTTTCAACACCTTTGGGAGTTGCATAGCAGATATTCTGCATAGCAGATATTTACATGATTCATAACAGTAGCAAAATTATAGCTATGAAGTAGCAACAAAAATAATTTCATGGTTGGGGTTACCACAATGTGAGGAACTGTAATAAAGGGCTGCAGCATTAGGAAGGCTGAGAACCACAGCTCTAGAACCACAGAAGATTGGAGGGCCTATACTCTAGAACCAGAGAAAAGGTCAGAAAAGTGGCATGGTGTAGAACCACAGTGGGGTCATAAGGTGTGAGACTGAGAATCAGGTAAAAGACCAGAGAATGTACAGACTAGGAATAGAGAAGGCTAGAGGTTGCATAGTCTAGAACTGAAGAAGGCAGGAATAACACAGTTTAGAACCATGGAGGCCAGAGGCCACAGTGTCTATAACAAGGAAGGCCAGAGGCCATAAGCCTAGATCCAGAGGAGACTAATGGTGGCACAGTCTAGAGCCAAGGAAGGCCATCGGCTTCACAGTCTAGAAACAGGAAAGGATGAGGATTATGGAATCATGGATTGTGCATTTTAGAGGGAAGTAGAAACTCTAGAACCAAAGAGTCAACAAGCCTCTAGAAACAGGGAAGGCCCAAGGGCATACAATCTAGAACCAACAAAGACCAGGGGCTGCATGGTCTAGATACAAGGAAGGCCCTGGGTCTTGCTGTCTAGAACCAGGGAAGATGAAAAGTGGTATAGCCTAAGACTTGGGAAGGCAACAGGTTGTTCAGTCTACAAACAGTGAAGGTAAGAGTCAAGTATTCTAGATTCAGGAAAGGTCGGGGATTATGGGTCTGCTGAGTGGAGGAAGTTGCTGCATATACCTAAACAGGAAGAACACAAATGAAGACATTGTTTAGGCTAGGTTGGTGCTGGTAGGAAGTCAGGAGCAGAAATAGCAGGCAGATTGGGTGGCAGCTTGGGAGGCTGAGACTCCACAAGTCCCTGGGGGTGAGTTCTGACCCTGAGTCTCCCCACCTTTGCCACCCACCGAGGATGGGGGTGGGGGGGCACATCGCAGAGTGCCAGAAGGATAAAGGATAAAGTAGAGCTAATAGAAGAGTGATGGAAAACAAAAGAAAACACAAAAGAACAAAAAATGCGATTATGGTTGTCCAAACTCCACGGGGCCAGGATCAGAGGCAAATCCCTGATTCTTCCAACCCCTTATTCTCCCAAATAAAGTAGAGTCAGAGAAAGGGATAGTGAGGTAACCAACTGTGGAGAACCCCAAGAGAAGTCCTGAGAGGAGGTGGAGGGGGTCACACGCCCCCTCCCAGAGGTCACTGAGCTGCGAATAATCCAAGAAGCCCCTGAATGGGTGAAGGCAGAGGGTGAGGGGGGCTGAGGTAGGACTGGCTGGGGGTGTGGAGGGACACTCAGAGGAGAGAGGCCCCATCCTGCATGTGGGCTGCTGGTGTGGAGTGTGGTTGAGTCCTCTCTGGGGTAGAAGAAGGGATCTGGGAAGAGAGCTGACTCAGTGGGCCTGGGCCAAGCCTGCCGCTGGTGGGACGTGGTTCCTGGGCTGGGTAGTTTCCTCATGCTGGTAGAGAGAGAGCAGCGAGGGAGCTAGTCCTGCAGAAAAAGGGAAGGTCAATCAGGAGAGAGAATTAGCACCCAACTGTATATGCACCTGCATCTAAAAGCAGGGAGGCAGGCTGGCAAGATAGCTCAGAGGGTATAGGTGCCTGCTGCAAACCCTGACCGTCTGAGTTCTGTCCTTAAAAGCCACATATTGGAGGGCGAGAACAGACCACTGAGTTTGATCCTCAGGACTCACTTGAAGTTTCAAGTAAGACCAAAGCTTTTGATAGCTGCAAGGTAAGATCACCATAAAAAGACACACAAAACTTTTGATCGCAGCACGGTAGGATCACCATAAAAAGACAAAGGAGCGAAGGCTGCAAAACCAGCACTGCCCCACCCTGCAGTCACAAGGGGAGGTGTCCCTTGAGCACTTACTATACAACAGTTCTTGGGTGGAATCTGCCCATGCAGCATCTCCATAAGTTCATTTCTCCAAACAGGTCCTCCAGTAAGAACTGTAGTCATAAGCTCCCACTGACAGATAAGGGACTTGAGGCTTTATAGCAGCTGTCCCAAAACCACAGGGCTGGGAGTTGCCCTGTATGGTTATTTCAATTAGGTCAAGCTTCGAAGAGCTCTCTCTGGGTCCACTCCAAGGGGTAGCCGTGGTAAGTTCTTACCCTCCTTAGGGTCTTTCTTTCTCTCCACAGGGCTCAGGAGGAAAGGGAAGGGAAGGGCTACCTGATGGCACCCTCTGCACTTGATAGTTTTGTGTCAACTTGACATAAGCTGGAGTCATTTGAGAGGAAGGAACCTCAACTGAGAAAATGCCCCCATAAGATCGGGTTTTAGCACCCCCCCCGTCTCTCTCTCTTTCTCTCTCTCTCTTGCTTTTAGAGACAGGGTTTCTCCGTGTATCTCTGCCTGTCTTGAACTCGATCTGTAGACCTGACTGGCCCTGAACTCAAATTCACCTGCCTCTGCCTCGTGAGTGCTGGGATCAAAGGTATGAGCCACTACCCGGTTATAGGACATTTTCTTAATTAATGATTGATGGGGGAGGGCCCAGCCCATGGTGGGTGGGGCTATCCCTGAGCTGGTGGTTCAGGGCACTATAAGAAAGCAGCTGGGAGGCTAGGCGGTGGTGGTTCACGCCTTTAATCCCAGCACTTGGGAGGTAGAGATCAGGCAGAGATCAGGGAGAGAGGGAGAGAGGGAGAGAGGGAGAGAGGGAGAGAGGGAGAGAGGGAGGGTGGGAGCTAGGGAAACCCTGTCTCAAACAAACAACCCCCCCAAAAAGAGAAAAGAAAAGAAAAGAAAAGGAAAATAAAAAAGTAAGCAGCTGGGCAAGCCATGGGGAGCAAGCCAGTAAGCAGCACAGCACCCTCCTCCTACCTCCAGGTTCCTGCTCGGCTTGAGTTCCTGCCCTGACCTCCCTCCATGACGGACTACAGTGTGGAAGTGGAAGTGAAATAAATCCTTTCTTCTCCAAGTTGCTTTTCGTCATGGTGTTTCATCACAGCAAAAATAACCCTAAGATACCCTCCTTCACCTACCCCTAAGATGGTTCCATTCTTCTGTTAATCATTTGTGGAACCATTCAGGGTAGAAGTGACTTGAAGTTTCTGTATACCCAAGCTGTTGTTGACTCACCCAAGGTCTCATGGGAATCCAGGAGTGAGGTTCTGGGATCCTGTTGGTTTCCTGGGAATTGTCGACCTTGCAGAAGGAAACTCTGGGAAGTTAGGGAGGCAGAGTTGTCACCATCAGCGTCAGCATCACCATTAATGTCATTATCAGTACCATGACATCATCACCAGCATCAGTAGCAGCATCACTACACGCATGATTAGCATCAACCACAGCAGGATCTTTAGCATCATCAGCCCATCTATATCACTTCTATCACTAGCATCAGCAGTACCATTACTATCATTAGCATAATCACTGTTATCAGCATCACCACTACCAGTATTATCACTCTCATTAGCATCATCACTACCATCACTCTTATCAACAACAGCCCCATCATCATCATCATCATCATCATCATCATCATCATCATCATCATCATCATCA